GCAGCGGTCGTCAAACGATAAAGTGCAAGGTCACCGAAGACTACTGAGCCACTGACCTCGTGATCGGCTCGTATTCCCTTCAGTCTTGTAGCGTGACAGCGGATTTCAGTGCAAAAAGCGTTTTAATCGCGCGCGCGTGCGCTTGGATTCGACTAAGCAGCAGCAGCAGCAGTGTACCCGACGTTTCGACTGAGCAAGCGACAAGCGGACGTCTCTATGACTGAATGGGTGCCTCACCTGCTGCCTGATGAGGGTTCCACCCCTTTCTGGACAGCTCTCTGAGTTCCAGGAAAGAGCACTACTTTTTTTGATGAAGAAGTTACTTGTTTTTGCCTTATGGGATGCTGCTATGGCATTTGCTGTCAATGCTTTGAAGCCTACCAGGGTTGATTTTGCAAGACAACAATGCGTTGTTTCGCCAATACCGTACGTTTTCACTGAGTTGCTACACTTACTGGTCGCAATCGAATAAATGGTGTTTAGGATCGTCAAAAGTAAAGCTATTTTGAAGGTACAGAGTATATTTGATCTTCACTAGATTACCACAACCCACTAGAGGGTTTAATTATTGACCAACAATGTATTAACTCAAAGGCCTGACGTGGAACCAAATGGATTGTAGCTGTCAGTACATTTGTCAAAGAACTGCCTTAATGCATTCCTTGGCCTGGCAACCGGATTAAAAGTAACTTTAGCGTCAAGAGGAACTAATGAGGATCACAATATACACGTGAAGAGAGAGACTGAAAAGGTAAAACTACGGTTCCAAAACCTCCGTCGCAACGTTTTTATGCACAATCCTACGGATGGTTATCTTCTTTGGTCATGAATCAGAGCTTTCAGCCACATGGATTCGTCTCAACATCCTTCTACCGTTTAACTGAGGCGGAATTGCACCAAACAGCTGTGTTCCTGGACCTTTGGGCCAGTCTTGTGTATGGTTAAGCGTTGGAAGGCAATGCATATCTACTTTATGTGTTGCTTTTCGTATTGACAGTAAGTTGCGGCTAGCCGTGTCTTTAGGCCAAAGAGGCAGTAGTATTATTGACGCCGTAAACCGTATCCTCCACCAGCAGTCG